TGTTTTAATGGCTCCAAAGAATATCAGATTAAAAGGGAGGTCCCTTAATAGTCAAACAAGAGAAATTATATATAATATTACTACATTTATGGAAAGAGAAGCAAATGAGGGATTTAAAATTCCTCTAAAAAATTATCGGTGAGTATGATAATATAGCATTTATTTTATAACAGTCGTAAGTATATTACATTACAAGTAGTAAGAAGCGTTAGAAGCGTTAGAATTTTTATTTAATTTAATCAGACTGAAGGGTTGATAAATTTTGAAAGACAGATTTTAGTTTCTGGTTATTTTTCTTCAGCAAAATAATGCCAAATTGCGATATACTTTTTGATCAACTGTAGAGTAGATAGCTCGATGCTCTCAAGGTTAAGATAAACATATCAAATTTTGCAGCAGCTATTCAAAATATTAGAAATAATATAGACACGCTAATTGATAAAGAATGGCAATCACAATAAGACCCACAAGAACTAAACTTAAACGACAATACCCAATCAGGTCCAAGTACAAGCAAGAAGAGACGGTTTGTTGAAAAGTAGGACCCCATTCCTAATTTAAGGATATGTAAGGAAATGTGTGATACAATGGCAGGGCAGGTAAATGAACGTTTTAGTTTTACTACCCACCTAACAATTGCAAGTTTATTTGATAGTGACAAATTTAAAGACTACCGAGGTTGTTTTCCAAATGAGGACGTTAAAACTGTGTGTAGTTTATTTCCAAACGTACAAACAGCTTAAAATTCAAAAAAGAACTGTCCATACTTTACACCCGAGATGACTTTGTGCAACACAATGGGGCCGTACCGTTATTACAAATGTTTTTTGAGAACAATTTGACAATTACATTTTCGGAATCTGTGGAGCTGCTAACTATCCTGTGTACAATTTCTATGACCACAGTGGAGAGTGAAATATGTTTTTCGACACTAAAACGTATTAAAACATTTTTAAGTAACACTATGTGCCAAGATAGATTGTGCGCGTTAGCCATGTTATCCATCGAAAAAAAAACTTATTCGGTCCATTCCAAATTTTATTAATCTGGTCATCGATCACTTCGCTAGCCAAAAATCCAGAAGAATGGACTTCAACTATAGGAAATAGTATACAACTGCAGCGGTACCTAGCAGTTAGTCTTCAATTTTGTAATATTTAATTTGTTTTGAAATATGTTTAATTTTCATTAAGCGGAGAACTTGTTTTCCTAAGGGAAAAAATGAATCCCGGGATTCCTTTCCAGTGTGTGCCCCACAATCGCTAGTGCCCACCAGCCGCCACTGCTACTGTTGTATGCGTTCACTTTTTTACTACATACCCAGTGCCAGTATTTCGTTTTTAAAAAAAAATGTTTATTTTACAAAAATCGGCCATAAGAGGCCTAACATGCGCTTCTTGGCAAGCCAGGTAGCTCTCTGATAGTGCTAGTGAAAAACTGAGCCCCTACAGCTAAAGAAGAAAAGGAAAGAAGAAGAAATTTATGCTGATCCTATATCTATTACTTGCTATGTAGATGACACAAAACTTTTGTAAAGATCTTGCAACTGCAATATATCTTCCGATGAAATCATCAAGTTTCCTCAAAGTCGGTAGCTAAAAGTGATGGGAGGAAAATAGCCTTCCTTTTTTAAATAGTACTGTTATATTTCTAATTTCGTTCCATTTCTGTATTATTTTTTCAGTTTGTTGAACTGTTCCCAGCCAAATATCACGAGTTGCTTTTTCTAAAGCTTCTTTCCCTGTAACTAGTGCTTTTTCTGTTGAAGTACCATCCTTTCCCACATAATTGCCATAATAATTATTTTTATAGCATTGCCCCAAATATGTTGAATAGAGATGAATATACAGTGATAATGAGGTAGTCGAAATACCTTATGTTCATATTTTTCTGCTTCATATACTTCTGGTGGTTTATTACTACAACTGATTAATTTTTGAAAACATTTTTTTTATTTTGGAGCACACGTTATCATCTGTTATTACGTCAGCAAATTATTTAATAAGAGCTATAAAATGTTTAGGAAAAGTAGATTTCTCCTGTTATTCAATTTCTTTTCGAACTTTATTAATTTAATGATTTAAACCCTAATATGGATTAGTTTATTTCCATAACCAAGCTCTTTTCTTGATCTGTGCCAATGACACCGCTAAATCTGGCTCCCGAAATAATCCCCTAGCTCCAACCATGGCAGGGTGCCACAACTTATGGTGTGACTCTCTTGCGAGATCGTCCGAACCAAAAATGTTGTGGCATGGATACCCAAACCCATGCATAACATGGAAACTACAAAGGTACTTGCTTTCCTCAAACTCAAAACCAAGGGCTCCAAACAGAACAGTGACAAGTCATTCACAGGCAAGTGGAAGACAATGGTCAAACCATTGTACTGTTGAACGATGACGACTCTTTGAAGGCTTTAGAAAACCTGTAGTTAAAACCCTATGTGGGCCTAACTCAGACAATCTTCAGAGTACAAATGGAGAGGAAGGAAGAACCTTCAGATGCTCAGAATAGTGCAAGCTAATCTGAGACACTGCAAGGCCGCCTCCGCAACCTTTGCACGTACCATTATTCGGGAGGACATAGATGTAGTTCTAATACAAAAACCCTGGATCTACAAAGGGCATGTGACGGGGCTCGGGCAAACCAAAGATAAGTTAATATACAATACCAAATACACTAGGGCATGTATATACGTACGTAATGGTCTATACATCCTTAATTTACAAGATTTCTATTTTAGAGACCTAGTAGCAGTCAGGATAGAAATAAACATAGCAGGCAATAAGAGGCTATTCATTCTAACCTCTGCATGCCTTCCCTATAACTCTTCCAGTCCTCCATCAACAGATGAGCTGAGGAACTTCGTAAAAATCTGCCGAGCTGAAAAACCTGTAGGTACTCATTGCTGCAGACGCAAATTCCCACCATGTTACATGGGACAGCACTGACAACAATAAAAGAGGCGTGTCTTTATTTGAATTAATTTTAACCAATAACCTGGAAATATTGAATCGTGGAAACGAACCTACTTTTGTAACCAGTAGACAGAGCAAGGTGATTGATATTACCCTTGATTCTCCCTTCGTTTCAAATCACATTGGCAAGTGGAACGTATTAATTATAAATGTTTATATTAACTTTACATTTGTACCAACTTTAATAACTGTGCGTTTTGAACAAAATTGTTTCAAAAGGAATACCACGTTCAGTTAACCAGTTCTCTATCAGCTTCATTGACAGCTGTTATCAGCACTTTATTGACTGCCGTACTATGGTAACTGGCATTATTCATAATTATGAAGACTAGTCTTCATATTCATAATAATTGTAGAAGGTCCATTAAAAGCTGATATTTAAACGAATGCAAAAAGTTTTCTCTATTTATTTCGCCATGCTAATCACCGCATCCCGTGTCTTAGAAGCAAATACCAAACTCCGCTCTAGCAGCAAATTCAGATTATATACCTTTTTGTAGTACTATATGCCTACAATGAAAAAATAAAGTGTTATACCAAAAATAAAACATACCAAAAATTTAACACTATGCCACTAAATTAAAAAAAAAAATGGAAAATCGTATTACCTATAAAGTAAATACTAAATTTAAATATAAATATATTTAAATACCTTGCACCATCAACTTTGGTTTTCCTCGCACTTCTCTTATCAGGAACTCCCAACTGTACCACCTTTAAATATCCATATCTCATCCAAAAAAACAAACGGATACAAGCCTTCCCTTTTGATTTTAAGATATTCGTGAAGTTTTTTCTAAACTTTACAACCCTTTATATCTTGGAAATGAAGCTTTTCAAAGAGATGTTTACCTACTAGGCAAAAAAAAATATTTTAAAAGTTTTTCGATATATTTACGGAACACCCTGTATTTACATGGAATAGATAATGGTTTAAATACGCTGTTAGAAACTACTAGTTATAATACTTAGTATATTATACTAGGTATTTTAGAAAAAAATATAATTGTTTTTGATAAAAAAAAACACAAAAAACAAATAACTAAAAATACCGAAATCAAAATAAAAAACTATTAATGTGCCGGCCTGGCCAAACTTTGATACCTAAAAAGATCTGTAAATAAAACGTGAAAAAAATCTAATATATCTAGGTAGGTACTTGTTGTTATTTTATAATTACATTTTTGGCATTACATACCTACCTATATACATATCAGTTATTGGAACTTATTAAATAAATAAAAGACCTTTTAAAAGCGATATAAATATAGCATTTAAAAAAAATCATCAATATAAAGTGTCACTGCAATCACATATTGACGTCAGGTATAAAACAAAATTACATGGAAAGCGTCTTTTAATATAAAAGTCAACTTTAATTTGATGATTTTCCTCCATAGTTTCTCTACAGATTATATTTCTTATATTTGTACCTAGTACCTAGTATATGAATTATTTGCGGTTAACATAATGAAAATAATTTAAATGGGTTGCAAAGCTTTAGAGATGTTTTACGATTTCGTTGGGGTTCTATTTTAAGTATTTTGGCTTAATTTTAATATATGAACAATATAAAATAGTATAGGTAGTATTTCTTACATTTTAATAACCCCATATTTTGGAGAAAATATATTTTAAATGTTTCAATGGTAAAATTTGGCGTGAAAATTGTTTTAAAACAAGTCGTAAAAGTAATAAAAAAAAGACTCCAAAACTAAAGAGTTTGATGATTTTTTTATAAATCCCATCATCACATTTTGACCAAATTTCTATGAGACTACCCCTGATGTACCCCTTTCTAATAAAAAGTGAATCATAGAAATCGATCAACGTGGTAAAAAATTATCGCTGAACATACATAAAAAATAAAAACAAATATTTTCGACGAATTGAGAACCTATTTATTTTAAAGTCGGTTAAAAATATATCACTTTTATTCAGGTACTATTTATAAATAACTAGAAAGCAAATTTAGTCCGAAGTTTCGAATCCGGACCTGTTCAATTCTTGCGCAGGTACCCAAGCACACAGCGAGAAACCTGTTCCCTGCCTTCGGCTTCCTTGACTCGCTGAGTCGAGTGTCATCTAAATCCAAAGAACTACTTTTGAACAGTCCGTCCGAGCGCAACGTGTAAAACAATTCGTGGCACCGAAATTTTGGATCTCATCTCCGTAGAGTATCATGCCCCCGGGCCATCAGACACCTGAATAGAGTTCACTAAGTTCAACGAGTTGCTGTAGTGTAGATTTCCATGTGATTTTGTGGTACTTTTTTGTGATTTACGCCGTTTTTCTTCGCTAACAATGCCTTGTTCTGCGGTAACTTTAAGTTTGGCCACCATCACTTCCATCATCGCCGTAGCACTTCTTGCTATTGCATTCACCACGGATAATTGGCTCTACATCGAAGTAAAGAGGTCACATATTCAGGTAAATGTTGTATTATTAATTATTCACTACCTATTTTCTGATGCTTAGTTATTTCTTATTTATCTCTTGTAGGTATATCTTAGTATATCATATTAACAGATGAAGAGATGATACAAAATACATCTTTGAATGTTTATTTAAATTTCATACAAGTATTACTTGCAACTTTTTATATTATTTTTTTGTGGTAACAAAATATTTTTTTGTTTAAAAGCTTTAAATATCTCTAGAAAATTATTTTATATCAATGGGTCTCTGCGATATCTACTAGTTAATTCAAATATAACCTATATCTTCAAAATTGTAAATAGATTTTTAAATTATTATGCAACATTTATTTAAATGACTAGGTTTCTTTCCACATCTGGCATTGATATTTCCATACAAAAAGTATGAAATTAGAACTAACTTTCTGTAAATATTGGGACTGTCTACGTGTCCTATTAGTAGGACATATAGCCTGTTTCGCTAAATATCCGACTAATAGAACAAATAGTACCAATGCTAAATAACCTACTATTCGATAGATTTACCATCATCAACCATAATCCAATAGGACAAATAGTGCCAAAGCTAAATATCATACTATTTGGCGATTTCTCATCGTGTACCAAAATATCAACAAGGAGAAAAATTGAGGCTTAGCTTGTTAGTTTCAAATTACAGAATGAATGAGCTAAACTTGAACTTCTAATAAATTTACGTAGGCCTTGCGATTATAAAACCTGTCTTTGATTGGTTACGTTGGGTTCTTTTTACCTAATTTGCAGTTTAAACATTATTTTAACCGCCTTTAATATTATTTGAAGAAACAAGTGGAAGGTGTAAAAGAAGGTGATGTTCTTCTAATGTGTTTAATTTGTATACATTAATTTAAAAATGTAACATGCATAGAAAGTAAATAAAATAGAAATAAATAAAAAACACTTTCATCCACTCGTGTCTTTAATTCACTTGTAGTAAATTTATTATGACAGTAGTAATTTAATTCCATTATAGAGATCCAGGAATTTATACAGGAAAATGAAGGTAAATAATTTTTACACTTAATAATCTTATTTTCAAATTTTAACGTAGGTATTAAATGTACCTAATTAATTAGTTTTTTTTCTGAATTCTTGGTTCTGGATCGTTATAAACCTATGGCAGTTACATCTCTTCCCCTGGGACGACCATTTTGTTTCATGGGTTTAGGAGTCTTGATTTTTTTCCAATAAATCTTTTTTTTTATTTTCAAGGGTTTGATCTACAAATAAATAATTAAGGGACTATTAATTTAAAAACCACTCTCACTTAAATCTAAATTGTCTTCATTTACTATGAACACTGTATTATTTGGATAGGTAAGGTAAATTCTCGATATCTGCAATACAAATGTTCTCCACCACATTGTTTTTTTGAGTGTACCTTGTATAGACACCTCCGAATTTTAATGAGTCTTTTTTATACAATTGCATAAAGTTTTGATCTTCATAGTTCTTTATAAATGTCTGTATCTCAAGAAAGAAACTAAATTTCCTTTTTAACCATGGAATCCATAATAATATTGCACTCAAACAAACGGCATTAACTAATTTTAAAAACTCAAAGTTAAAATAATTATTGTAGTAATAAAACAATCAGCCCTAAACACTAAAGAAACATTACAAAACAGATCTTAACTTCATTTTTACTCTGGAATTTGCCAAATTCTGAATAATAGTAGGATATTTAGCTTTGGTACTATTTGTCCTATTAGTCGGATATCTAGCAAAATAGGCTATAATATTAATATTAATATTTTAAAATGGATTTGATCAACTTAAAGTAAAATGTTTTAAATCAACAGGTAAATAAATAATAAGTGTCTGATTGTTTATTTAAATATACATACCTATATACCTACATGAAACCAGAAAACAAAAATATTACCTTGTGAATTTAAAATAGTTATTTTAAGTTTCTAAAAACGTCATAACTTTGTTTACAGGACAAAATTATTAATCGAAAACAAATCAAATTAATTAGTAGAGTCCGATTACAATTAGACGAACACAGCTACTCCATCATTTGGCAAAGTAATTAATTGGTTATCGCTGCCTATAAAAAATATTGTTTTATACCTAACAACTTACTTAATTTTTGTTTATTGAAAGTTATAGATAATATTCATTCGAAATTTGAAGTAATGGTTATGACGTAGCTGTGTTCTTCTAATTGCAATCGGACCCTACCTACAAAGAAAAAGACTTGAAGAAAATATAATATAAATCTGATGTATTAAAAGAAAATATAAAATTAAAATGAATCTATTAATAATGATTGGTATTCTATATTATACACTTCAGAGTTTAACAGATCCCCTTTAACCCCCCATTTTTAATCAGATCTTTTTTTTTATAATCAATAGGATTCATCCCCTTACAGAGTTTGATTTTCCGGAAGATTTCTGAGTTAGGATTTTTTTTTTAATATTTTAACCCCCACATTTTTATTCAATTTTTTTTTAAATCAATAAGCTTCATCCCCTTATAGAGCTTATTTTTTTTTTTAATTTCATGTTGATGTCGCTTTTCGATTTTGAATTAGGATTTTTTAAATTTCAGACCCCCTTAACCCCCATATCTATTTAGATATGTCATTATCAATAGGCTTCGTCACTTTATAGAGCTTGATTTTTGCTAAAAATTTCAATTTGTTATCATTTTTTGTTTTTGACTTATCTTGTGGACAAAAAACTTGATGACGGACGGACGGACAGACATTTTTAACAGTTGTTTAAAGTTTAGTGAGACGGATTTTGGTACCAAATTTTTTATATTTAAATCAATATTAAAATTTTGGTCTCCAGAAAATAAACCTATAATACTCCTCACAGACTACTGTGTGAAGATTATAATAATGTGCATAGGTATTTAAAAAGTTAACAAGTTAAAAGCTTGCTGGCTATTATATAAAATTGTTCTTATAATTATCATAGAAGTTTTATTAATTTTACCAAAATAAAGGTAAGTACCTAGGTATGTTATAAACAAAGCGATACTTTTTCATCCTGGTGACTTCGGCAGCCAGTTTTTTTCGTTATGTTATTTGCCTTGCTATACAGGGTGTACCAATAGAAACTCCCAGGCCGGATATTATGTTAAGTAATAGAGATATTTTAATTCTGTAAGAGCCAGTTTATAGAGCGCTAAGAGAGCTTCAGTTCTAGATATAAATTAATTTTAAATAGGTCAATATGTAGATGGCGCTGCGCTCAATAATTTTTTTTCGATGGGAGGATCTTTCTTATGTAGCGCATCTGATAAAAAATGCATTTTTAAGCAAATTTTGTTCTATGAACTAATTCTCATTTTTGATATACAAAGTGGGTCACTTAAAACAGTTTCATCCTGTTTTTCAGCAATAATCTTTGGATTTTAAGAAAATGCTAAAACAGGTTGATTTTGTTCCAAATTAAACATATTTTTACAATACAGACATCTGTCATGTGTCAACCCCCTACCTTCCACTTCTCCAACCTCTTAATTTTAAATAAGGAATGTACCATGTACGGCATATCATTAAAAAGATAATTTTATGGGGAAGTCAGAAATATGACAGTTTATTGCGATACTTTTAATTTTAGCGCCCTCTATCGGGATAAAAAAATCTGTAACGTATTATAAAGTGTGATACTTCATTTAAAAGCTAATTTAATTACTTATTCAATGCACCACATAACATTAATAGAAATATTTCCATACTGCACTTGCAACAAAATAAAGTTAGCAATAGTGTTTAAAAATAATGCATGACTAATTTTCAAACTATTGCAATAGGTATGGAGGGTATTTTTATTAATGTTATGTGGTACATTAAATTAGTAATTAAATTTGCTTTCAAATAAGTATCGCAATGAACAGTAATATTTTCTAAATTCCCCATAAAATTACCTTTTTAATGATGTACTACACATTGTAGTATCACACTCTATAATACGTAGTAGTTTTTTATCCCGCTAGAGGACGATAAAATTTAAGTAACGCAATGTACAGAAATATTTCTGAATCCCCCATTAAATTACCTTTTTAATGATGTGCCATACATGGTACATTACCTATTTAAAGTTAAGGTGTGGAGAAGTGAACGGGAGGGGGTTGACACATGACAGCACTGTTAATTATTAAAATCCAACATTAGTGAACGATCGAGGGGAAAACTATTCTATAAAGACGACAACATCATAGATTATGCTAATTATCTAGTAATAGTTACAGTAATATGTAAGTTTGACACTGTAATATAAATCATACAAAATTTTCTATCAATCATCATTGGTTGGACAAGGGATCGAGGGATAAGCATTAACCTATTTATAATCTAGAACGACTTTAGTTTTCATTCACAAAATGCAGGAACACAAATATGAAATTCCCAAACTATATGGCACTGAACTATTGTAAAATTGTATAGTGAAGATAAATAACTAGGAATTCACCCTAAATCAAAAATTAACATATAATTTCCTCTTAAAGCAGGTACCTACCCAGGGCAGCCGAGAGCCAGGTCGGGCCCCGGGACAATTCTCCAAGGTCGGGCCCCGCGACAATTTTATAAAACATTTCTAAAAAACAAAAAGGTCTTCAAGCAAAAATGTCTCCTCCTCTTTACTTGAAATTTTCTAAAAAAAAGATCTTAAAGCTAAAACTTCTCCCTCGTCCTCTTTACTTCAATTTCTCTAAAAAAAAAAGGTCTACAAAAACTTCTCCCTCTCTTTGCTTCAATTTCTCCTAAAAAAAAGTCTACGAAACAAAAACTTCTCCTCTTCTTTCCTGAATCTCTTAAAAAAAAAGGTCTTCAAACAAAAACTTTCCCCCTCTTGTGCCGAACTTCTGAAGACGTAAAAACGTCCTCGCCATAGTTGCCGGGCCCCCACTTGAGCCCGGGCCCCGGGAATTAGTTTCTGCTACCCTCCCCCCCTCTTGTCGGCCCTGTACCTACCAAGTCAACTCTAAAGGAAATAGGACTTTACGGAGGCC